GGGTTATTTAAAATGTTGCAACAATGCTGTAGTAAACAACTTGTTTAAATAAACATTCTGTATATTTAAGATGAGGTGATTTTATTTCTATGGGATGTAACTCCAAAGGTAAATTTTCTATGCTAAATAATATTTCTGATTTTAATAGAAAATTATTTTACGTGGAATAAAAGCAGAATAAGAGAAGGCAAAGAAAAAATGATAGAATAAAATAATAATAAATTTATATAGCAGACTCCCAGAATCAGCTGCTTTTCAGGAGATGATTCTTGTTTGCCCTCTAACTTCCAGTACCAATGACCTATATCATAAGCCGTCATTGCAAACTCCAAGTCCCACGTAAAGTGTGGTATAAAAGAGAGGCAACAGATGATAGCAAGTCTTCACGAGGATGTGCAGAGTTAAAACCCTCATACACTGCTAGTGGGAATATAGAACGGTCGAGTCAGTGTGGAAAACGGTCCGGCAGTTCCTCAAAAGGTGAAACACAGAGTTACCATATGCCTCAGCAGTTCCTCTGCTAGGGATATGCTCAAGAGAAATGAAGACATATGTACACATGAAAACTTGTACAGGAATGTTCCTAGAAGCATTCTCATAATAGTCAAAAAAATAGAGATAACTCGGATGTCCATTAACTGACGAATGGATAAACGATGGTGTGTCCATACAGTGGAGTATTATTCAGCCATAAAAAGGAATGGAGTACAGATGCATGCTATGACATGGAAGAGCTTTGAAAACGTTATTCTAAGTGAAAGAAATCAGTCACACAAGACCACATACTGTGGATCTTCTTTATTTGAAATGTCCATGATGGGAAGTAGATGAGTGGTTGCCTAAGGCTGGGGGTGGGAGGGTGAGGGGAAAATAGAAGGTAGCTGATAATTGGTATGAGGTGTCTTTTTGGGGTGACAAAAATGTTCTACACTTGACTGTGCTCATAGTTGCAGAACTCTGTGAATATACTGAAAACCATTGAAGTATACACTTTAAATGGGTGCATTTTGGGGTGTGTGAGTTATGTTTCAATAAAACTGTTTATTTTTTTAAAGGAGCAAATAAGCAAGAGACCGAGAGAGAAGGAGAGAAAGTCAAATCTAGACATTAGAGAAATCCAGACATTAGTGAGGAGAGAATGCCCTCCCCGTGGGGTGCTTTTGTCATCCTACGTGCCTCCGAGACTAGTCCCTCGGGTAGAATCTTCTTCTCATCCAAGAGATAGTAGATGTGTTGACTATTGGTGAACATCACTCTGATTGCGGCTTTGAAAAATCCCTCACTGCTCCGACTAGGTTATAGCCACTGTGAAAAAAAGAACGAATAGCTAACCCATTTTCCCAATCCCCTTTGTTTATTAAAGGGGAGGCTGTGCCATGTGCCAACCTCATTTGAAGTGTCTGTCCTTATGCCATCCTTTCTACTTTGTCAAATACCCTCACTCATTTTTAAAAATCTCAACCTAAGAAAAAATGATGCAGCCCACCTAGGTTGTGTTTATTCAGTTTTCCTTCTCTAGATTTTCACATTTATGCCGTGCCATAAAACAAAAATGCCGAATATAATCCAAGCTAAGCTTGCCTTTTAATCACAGTGAATTCCATCCTCAGGTATACTTTGTTCTTGCTACAATTTATTGTTTTGGTCCTGTTTCAAATTGTAATGGAAAACTCTTGTTGGCTGTGCTGATCAAGGTTCCCAAAATTCAATGTGCAGGAGAGAAATACTTATTTTGCCAGTTTTGGCCAAGCAGAATTAATATAAAGACTGTAAAAGGCAAAGAAAGAAATTAAAGCAATGTTAGAACTACTGCAAAGAACACGGCTTTTCCAATCTCAGGAAAACATGGAAAATGGGAATAAAGTATTATTCCTTGAAACCAAAGCTGACTTCATGCAGGATTGTCCAGTGTTCAGCCTGATCCCAGGGACATCTCAGCTGCCTTGTCCTGCCTCTTCCCACTTCTCTGCACTGCCATAAAACCCTTCCCACTACAAGCCCAGCCCAGCCCAGCCCAGCCCAGCCCAGCCCAGCCCTCCTGCCCTCCTCCACACCCCTTCTCCCAGTCAGGGAGCTGTCTTCTCTCCATCTTCCCTGCACTGGTCAAAGCTGCAGATGTTTTCCGTAAGCATAGCCTATCTTGCTAAACACTGCTAGATGGCAAGAAATAATCGAATAGACTAATTTATTCTAGTTTAAGATGAGATCTTTCCAGGAGTGTTTGCATTAAAATAAGGGATCCTAAAAATAAAATTTCTTAACCTTTGAGGAGAATTGACAACAAAAGAACTTAAAGCCCTGAGGGAGGTCTGGAGTAGGGATATTTTTGAATAAAGGCAATTACTTAAGTAGAACTCAGCTTTGGTGGTGGTGTCCCTATTTGAAAATGAGTTGAAAATGGTCCTCTCCCTACTCTCAAGCTGTACACTTCTCTGTGATTATTAATTATGTTTGTCAAGGTATTTATGTTTTAAGTGATGTTTTTCATTTAGCCCTTTTTTTTGTGTGAGTCACATTTACATAAACCATCTCCTAAACCAAGTCAGGACAGCCCTGAAAGATGACAAAATACGGTGTAAAGTGACTTAAACAGTGCTAGTGAGTGGCTTCCACCTGGGTCCATCTGAGGCCAAGTTTAGTTTTCTTTCCTGGGGGATACTAAAACAAACTTTGTCATTCAGCAAGGAACTCTAACAGGGAGTCCTGCTGTGGTGCTTGCGTTGTAGCTTCATTTCAGAAGCAGCCCTGGAGAATTTTGAATCATTGAAAGACATTGACTTCAGAGGGTCAGGTATTTATGGAGTTTGGGATAAATGTAGCAATTCATAGGGATGATGTGTTTTTAGTTGCAAAGTGAACTGGTCTGCATACCTGGGTAACAAATAAAGATTCCTGTTTTCTGCTTCCTTCACCTTATAGATTTTTTGCATCAAGACGGCAATAGTGTGAAAAGCCAGTCACTTGGAAATTGTTTCAAGCCACATTGTAGAGATTAGAAAGGGAGTTGTTACTGTCCTTTTATTGCTCTTTTCATTTCTGAATGTGGGCACCCATCAAAATAGAGACAAAAAGCAAAGGATCTTACTTATTTTTCCCTGTTTAAACATTATTTTGCATCCTTATTTTGAAAAATCAGCATGTTTGATGGCAGTATCTAGATGTTTTAGGGTCCTCCCCATATGTTACAAGTGACATGTAAGTAGCAGTGGGTAAGCTTTTCCACACAACTGCATTAGCTGCTCATGTGGACACTGACCTTGTTCAGATTTACTTGCATAAGTACAATCTGCAGTCATGATTTTAACATACTGACGATACTGTGTCTCATCTCAGTGAGCTGGCCCACTTTCTCACTGTTCAACGCGCAGGCCCTTTTTCCTTTTTTTCTCTTCTTTTACTTCTTCTTTCGACATACTTTTTGGTTCAGATACTTGTTCACATCTCTGTGATAAGCACACTTTGATTTGCAGCTAATTGTAGCCACCGATTTTCATTATGTATGAGTGTCATTGTCAGAATCCATTTGGAAGTCTGACTGAGATAAAGCCGATTCCAACTTCTGATATGACCACAGCAATAAAGCAATTAACCACACTAGTTACAATGGGCGGCGGCCTGGAGGGTGCTAATATCTTTACAACCCAATATTTACTACATTGTCCATTAGGTTTGATTTATTTCTGAGAAGATTCCACGTGTTATCATTTTATCACAAATAATTTATAAAACCCTCTTTCAAAAAATATAATGTATGTTTCTCATGTCAGCCTGTTAGCATTAAAATGTTCACAGATTTAAGAGGTAGAAGTAGGGAAATCAAAACTATGAGTAATATAAATGTTTAATATTCTTAAAAGGTTTGGTTATGAGATAGTAGCATTTAAATCAGTCTTTGTATGTTATTATTATTTACCTATATTTTGATTCTGATTGGCGCCTAAATCTCACACTCTACCATGTCAACCAGAGACAAGAAATAGAAAAGCTTTAAGTATGCAGGACAAGCACACATTTTTCTCACTCTTCTCATCCATAGTAGTATAAGACATGTGAAATTTCCAGAATAAATACAGGATTGGAAAAGTCATTAATAACAGCAGTCATTTGAAAGTGTCACCTAATTTAAACACTTTTGCTTTAAGTTATTGCAGTGTCATGAGTTTTATTATGCTCAATTTATTAGTAAAGGCCTGCAGAGTTCACAGCCATTTATTTTTCAGGGAACTTGATTTTATCATTAATTTTTAAATACGTAATACTCCCACTTTATTTTCAGAGTGCACTTTATTTGCAAAGATTGGTTTACTCTGATCAATACAGATGTTTTCAGGTGTGTAGTAAAGCAGAAAGCCTAGAAAGTCAAAAATGTACAAAATATGCAGCAATTTTTTTAGACGTTATACTCCAAAATTTAATGTGTATACACAGGCCCCCCTCACACATACATACATACATACAAACAAAATACTATGTGTTACATTGATTGCTAAGTCAAGGTTGGAAAATATAAGAAGAATGACCAAGCTCCTGTTTCTACTGTTTGAGTAACTTTTTCTGGAGGGGAAACTTTTCTCTTCCAAAGGAGTGACATCTGGGTGGGAAAATTTTATTGTTTGGGACTCGAGCCAGGACACGGAAAATAATTCGGACAATTTCTATTGCCTCACAAGTGTACTAAACAAAATTCTATCAGTGCAATAATCCTTTCTCTGGGTTGAGTTCTCATGGTTGGGGCCACTTTGCTTGCCTATCTCTCTGGAGGTACTTATGGGCTTAAAAAGTTGACAAAGGAGCTCTAAGTTGGGGCCCCGCCCTCCTCCCATAATTGCACCCACTTGATCCCATGCCATGTGACACTACTGTAAATGCCTGGTGCTGATCCCTGAAAAGCCTAAATGTTTGAGTGTTTATTTCTGAAAGACATTCTTAAAAAAAAAAAGAAAAGAAACTAACACTGAACATATACTCACTAGCTGTTATCTCTTTTTCCCCCTAATTAGGACAGAATTTTACCCTAAGGCAGTTAGGAGTTTGTGAACCAGCAACTCGAAGAGGACTGGCATTTTGTGCGGAAATGGGGCTTCCCCACAGAGGTTACTCTATCAGTGCAGGGTCAGATGCTGATACTGAAAATGAAGCAGTGATGTCCCCAGAGCATGCCATGAGACTTTGGGGCAGGGGGGTCAAATCAGGCCGCAGCTCCTGCCTGTCAAGTCGGTCCAACTCAGCCCTCACCCTGACAGATACGGAGCACGAAAACAAGTCGGACAGTGAGAATGGTAAGTTTCCTTTTTTGCTTTATAATGTTGGCATTCAGTGCTTCTCTCTGTTTTGGTTGACTCCGGGGGGAGGGTGGATGTTTTCCTTTCTCTCCTCCTCCCTCCCATCCTTCTTTCTCTCTCTTTCTTGTCCATTTCTTTTTGCTGTAATGTAGTAGAACTCAAGAAATGTCCTTGAATAATGCATTTTTTCCTGGAAAAAAAAATCAATATTTGACATCAGATTGTTAAATTAGGCAAGCAGCCTATGATGTTTTGGCTACAGTTTTGAAAACTGTTTACTCATCTACAGAAAAAAAAAATAGCTTTGACTTCTCTTGGACCATATCACCTGTTGTCTTCTGTGGATTGGCAAAGCACGTGTTGATAAAGTTTACCCCACAGCCGTCTTGCAATCAAAGATGTCTTTGTAGATTCCTCTTGAAGAGATCTCAAAGAAGTTGCAGAATCTTAGAACGGATGAGTGAGCATGCAGAATAGTTTATTAACAGGGCTCTAGTGATCGAAGAACAAATTTGATCATGCTTTAAACTTACTAGTTGATGACAGCAATTGAAATCTTGGTAAAGAGCGCGAGTGTGGCCTTTGATGTTCTCTGGGGACTGGATTACTATGCAATTAAATCCACACACAAAAATTGGATTTTAGGATATCCAAATAGCAGCTTTATGTCTATTGTAAGAAAAAAATGTCTTTATCAATTATTGGGACTTTTTTTCCTATTGCCAATGCAGGATAATTTATAAAAAGTTAATTTATATGCAATAATAAATTTTAAAGAAAACTTAATTTTTAGTCAGTGCTGCTTCTAGGAAGAATTGGGCATCAGCAGCCATGCACCAGACAAAAAATTCTCCTTCAGCTTTTAATATGAACAGTGCACTAGCTATTTCAGTCTAGTTATTAATGCTGTGCATATCCTATGCATCAAAAAGCAAAGAGAAAATTAAAATGGAAGAACTGCATGACATTTGAAAAGAAAAATGGTTGTTTTATCAATGATATTTCAGTTTTATTATTTATTGGGTGACTTTGTCAGCTTTGCTTTGGAATAGAAAAGTGGATCTATTGTTAGCTTTCAGTTTCAGCTAAGTCACAGTGGGAAGTAGCACCTAATGCTTATTAGTTATTTTCTTTCTATTCATGAAAAAAGGTCTAATTTAAACCAATGCAATCAATTTTTTATTTTATGTAGAATATCTTACTGCATTAAACCAAAGTCAAGATCAAATAATAACTATATACTCAATATCTTCATGTTGGTAGTTTCAGTTCTTGGTGGAGGCTGGCTTTATTCCAACTCAAAAGAAGAAACAAGGACAGTTATTTTGACAAAATGAGCCTTAGAATCAGGATGCCAACGTTTTGCTCAGCTAATCCATTCACCTCAGTAAATCCTGTGTTTATATCCATTTTCATAGTGGATTCAGAAGTCACTAACCTTAAATACATATGATTTGGAATCAATATTGCTTCCTGTCCAGCTGTACTTCACATAATACTCCTTGAGCAATGGGAGATACAATGGTCATATTCAAAGGTAGCACCCAGCATTTAATTTTCTTAAAATACACAATAAAATTTGTGATGTTTTAGAAGACTAGAACGCAGCAGGATAATGTGATCAGTTCCGATTATCTGCATCATAGATCATCCATATCCATAGCTATCAACTATGTTTTAACATTGGGTCAGTTTGCCCTTTCCACCCAAAACTTCTATGGCATCTCTTCCTTTCTCTCTAATGACAAAGGTATCTTGTTATGGTATCTGTATTGGTAAAATATAAATTAATTTTATTATGTTTCAAATTACTGCTAAAAGGATCTCATGGTGAATTCCTAAACACATATAATTTTTTTTTCTTTTCAGAAAATATAAACTTTGTAACCTTTAGTTAACAATATATAATATCCAAATGTTAGGGAGAAGGGAAGGAAGACCTGTGAGTTTCTCATACCACTGCCCTCGCCATTTCCGTGGATTAATATTAACTAGAGGAGGAAATTGTTTCGCCAAGAATCTTCTAGACCTTGTTCTTAGAGTGATGTAAAGGCAAGAAAAGTTGCACTCTTTAATTTCTCCAAGTAGTGGCTAGGAAGCAGAATGAAGAGAGACAGGGAGAGTGTCAAGGGCCTTGCCTTGAAATTCAGAACATTTGGCAGCATTTGTTGAGAGTAAACAGGTCAGCCAAGTTAAGAGTATAAAGTGTCAAAAGCAATGTTTGTTGAGTTGGGCAACATGATGACTTAAACTTGTGTTTACTCTTTTTCCAAAGGTTTGGTTGTGGTTGTAATTTTAAACAACGTTTTGATGGTCTAAGAATTCCCAATGAGAGCAGTTTAAAGAAAGAAACAAAAGAGGAAATAAAATAGATTATGTTGTCTTAATGAATACTGGCTATTGCATATATTTAAAACATATGTCCATAGGAACTTTTCAGATTAATTTATTTGTTCTGAAATTTTGGTGATTACTTAGAAGGAACAAGATTTCATTTAATGTAATTAATTACATTAAGATATGGGGAAGCATAATTTTCTGAAGTATTTAGCAGACCTTATAATTTTGAATTGTGGAATTAAACAATAGCATTGAGGATTTTTTTCCTGATATTAAAAAATTATGTGTCTTTCCCTTAAGCTGGGTTATAGTAAGAAGTGAAATTTGCAGTCATACATAGGTTCTTCTAACACCTTTATAAATAGTTGTCTCAAAACTAACTCACATTTTTACCTATTAATTCCTACTTTTACTCAAGTAATTCTAATATAAAGTTACAAAATAATTCAATTCTACTATCTTCAGGCATTTTTAATTGCTCTAACTTAAAAAGCTATTGATTTTCTGGCTATATTTTCCTTTGACTTGTCAATTCTTTTCATTGTCTCTTTTATTCATTTTTATACTAGCTTGAAATGTGTTCTTGAAAGTTCTATTATATCACTAAAGGTTGAAAAGAGAAGGAGACGGGTGAAATAACTCACCGAAAGGAAACTAATTTAAGAACCAGATGCGGATGTGTTTTCATCTGGTTTAACATGAGAGCTTTCCTTGACTGTTTTCTTCATTTGAAATAACTATGAATGAGGCTGTTTTTCCTAGAAAAAAAAAATGTTATTCAACATTGTAAAATTATGCAAGCAGAGTGCCTGATGTTCTAGCTACAGCTTCAAAGAAGAATTTAGTCACTGAAAGGGATTAGATTCCATTTATTTATTGATAAAGAGGCCAACAGTTCAAGTTAAGAAGGCGCTAGAACTGCTGTGAGGCTAATGAAATTTTGATGGCCTGAGCATCCCCCAAGAGTAAGAGAACATTCGGACCGTGTCACACAGTTCTCTGTTAGCTGAGATTCAAAACAAGTGATAAGGTTTCTTCTTTGGCAAAACTAACTTTTCACCAGCCATGGGGATCTGACGTTAAAAAGAATTTTGATAAAAAATTTTTTTCACAGTATATTGAGTTTCCTATGTAATTCCAAATATTAATCTTGTTCCAAATGAAGGATATGGGAGAAGCCCGTTCTTGGCACCCATTGATTGTTGTGGTGTCATTGTTGTAGTGGACTCTGCCACACACCAGGGCAAGTTCTGGAGGGACAGTGATTTGGGATCACCTACTAACAGCAGTTTGAGTAAAAACGGTTGAAAGGTTATAAAATCAGTGTGATGGGATACCCCAGTCAAAGGTAGAATTCTCAGTGTGCTCTGGATTATTGTCGGCACCTGGGACTACAGGTGCGCGCCACCACGCCTGGCTAATTTTTGTATTTTTAGTAGAGACGGGGTTTCACCATGTTGTCCAGGATGGTCTCAATCTCTTGATCTCGTGATCCGCCCACCTCTGCCTCCCAAAGTGCTGGGATTACAGGCATGAGCCACCGCACCTGGTGGTGTTAAAATACCCCTGACTGAAACCCTCCCACCCAGCTTCGCAAGCACTGTAATCTGACCTCAGTTCCAAAGACCTATCTAAATGTCAGGAACAAAGGTCTTTTTCTGTTTCTTTTTTCCCCAAAACATCAGTCTTTAAGCTTTAAAAATGTTTCCTTGGAGAGTAACTCAGTGTCAAGAGATGTGCAGGAAATCCGAAGAAGGGTAGGGTTGCTCCTGGTATCAAGGAAATAACCAGAAGTCATCAGGACAGTGAAGATATTTAGCAAAGAAATGTAAGTGGGAAAACTTGTAATAAAGTTAGTTTTGTGAGTAAGTAAATAAATAAAATGTTTGTGTGTGTATCGCTTCCCAGAAGCAGCCGGGCATCTATTGTCCTTTGTCATCCAGCCAGTGTGGTGGTGTCACAGGTACTTGGATTCGGGAGGGTTCACATTCATTCATTCATCCCTTGCGAGGGTTACCCCCTGAAGCACCTAGAGCGGGAGCTGTCAACTCTTGCAGGCCTTGTCTGCTCCTTCAGCTGCGTGCTGAGTTCCGGAGGGGCGGAGCTCTCCTGTTGGAGTCTAGTTCCTTCTTCTGCCGCCTCAGCCTGTTACGCCCTTGGAGAAAGATGACCTTTGATGTAAGGCAGGCCAGCAGGCGTTGGCACGCTCTTCCACCTCCTGGTGACTCAGGACCCCGAGAGCCTCCATTGAGGACGGTCTTTGCGAATGTGATGCCCGGAGGAGGGACTCCTGGTTTCGTGTGGGCACTACCACCTCCCAGCTTTGAGACCTTGGGCAAGTTGCTCATCCTTCCGTGCCGCGGTTTCCACGTTGTAAAATAGGGATAACAGTAAACAGGGTATAGTCCTGTGAGGTCGGGGCTGTTCTGAGAATTAAATGAGCTCAGGTATGCCTGGCGCTTACAACAGTGCCTGACATCTGGTGGATTCTGAATAAGTGTGTGCCCTTGTTATTATTTGTAAAAGGTGGAAAATTGTATCTGTTTTATGTGGCTATGAAGATTAAGTTAAATAATATCAAGTGCCTACCTACCTATTGTGACTATCTACCACAATAGATATCCCCTCCTCCTCTCCCCCACTCCTCCTTTCTCACC